ATCAATTGCTTCGTTTCGGTTGCGTATTGCTAATAGAAACAAATATATGTAATATAATTATATTTCTTAAAAACATTGATACATTGTTTGTGCTTTATTTTTAAAACAAAAAAAACATGTCGTATACAAAATAACAGAGACTTAACTGTCATTGGGCTATGCCCTTAGCTTACCTTGCAAAAATATATCTCAGATATATAACATCCACTTTGTACAAACTATTAGCTATGACCTATATAACAATAAACTATCTATTTAACCTAAATACAATATTAGAATCGAAAAGATCCAAACTAGATTGTGCATTATTTTTACAAGATATACAATAATATCACATTAAAAATACCGTGAGTTGCAATATAAGTGTTCGTCTAAAAGTATAAAGATACTAAGAAAAATGTCAATATACATTTTACAGGTTAATATACGTATGTTGTGGTGATCCAGGCTGAGTAAGCTCAGCCTGGGACACCCTGTATAACTCTATCGGTACTGTTGTGTTTCTTATGCACCATTTCCTCTCTTTTTCATCGTTTCAGAGGAAAACTCGGCAGTATTGAAAAATCTATACAAAATACAATGTTTTTTGAATTTACTCTAAGGCACCTCCTCCTGTATTGGGTAAAAGTAAACACAGCAATCCACTTCCTGAAAAAAAGAAGTCGACTGTAATAATGATAACAATATTTAAAAATAGTTGTTTTACTCAAAAGCATGGCTGCGAAAAGTACTATTGGCACGACGCAGTTTAAGTCGATGAGAAATCCAAATAGTAGGTTACCTATTAGGGCTCCACCCCTTCCAAAAGTCAAGGATAAAGCTGCTGCCATTACCCCAAATAAAAGAAATTAATATAATCTAAAACGGCTAGAAGACTAGCATACATAAGTCTAATTTTAAATCTTCTGTAGTGTTATTAGTAAATAATAAATAAACATATGTAAGTAAATTTTAGTAAATCTAACAGGATCATGTGTCATATTTTAAATCAATAGTCACATTATTACCAGAAAAAGACTGTAAAATAGTATTTGTTCAACCTGAAGTTGATCTCGGTGAAAAAAAAATAATATTGATCTTTTTTCTTAATAATTTATTGTACAGATTACATTAAAACAGTTATCCTTACCTTAAATTTGTTGGAAACAGATCAACCATCACACAGTACACAGTACTGATCCCCAAACTGGTTAAAGCCTCGAAAATACAAGACAAGGCCAAGTTCGAGTTGGTCGAATTAACAAAATACAGTCCGATAGTCACAGACCCAGCAACCAAAAGGCTGAAAACCAGGAAAAACTTCGCTCCCAACCTATGCACGCACAAAGGCAGCCAGAAGCTGGTAGGTATACAAGCCAGTCCAATGATTAAAGTGTGTAGGAACACAGAATCTGCTATCGGTTCTCCGCAGAACTCCTCCACACCACCGGTACCCGTACTGTTACCTGGGTATAGTACTACAGAAGACACTTCGCACACTGTAGCTTTTTCGTTGGGGTGTACACTTTCGAACTCTTCAAATCGATAGAACAGTTCAGGAAACCAGATCATCAAAGTGTAGTAGCTTGTTGTCAGGCCAAACTGAATGGCGCAGGTTATCACTGTGTAACGCAAGTGTGGTGGCTTGCAAAGAGCTTTAGTTTGTTCCCAGATTTCTTGGAGAAGAAGTTTAAGTTCTTTGGGTTTTCGTATCCTTAGGCTTCGAATGCTTCGAGTGGACTGTTGGGATACTACGCTCATGGTTCTGACTTTTTCTCGCAAGCTGGTTACCTGTAAAAAGATATATCCTATATGAGATTACACCTTTTAAAATATTTTTATTCATCCTTTCTTTGAATAAAACGATTAAAGAAAGTGAGTATAATACTATACTCCTGAAGCCCTGAGACGATACAGGGTGGCGTAACCAAGGAAAACAACAGTTTGTATTGAAATGAAACTTTGTGAGCCACTGTAAGTTAATTCAGAGCACTTTAAAATATAGAGAGTTCTACTGAATATCCTCAAAAAAGTTACATGTCAAAGTTATGTTTTTGTAAGGGAACACCCTATATATTCATGGCTGGATTTTGGAAGAAAAAATAAAGATGAGTTTTATTAGAGAAGTATAATATGACTAAATCCCACAATATGTCAGTATCCCACACCCGGCATTCAGCCAAATCATATCAATAAGGAATTGATGTCTCTTCCAAATACTATTGGTTGCCTACCCCACAAACAAAGTCTTTCCAAGATATTTTCATTTTTATGATTTAGTGTCAGTAGATCTTTATTATTTGGTAAAAGCTAGGTGACTGTGATATGTCTGACTTTACTTCAGCATAGCTGTCAAATTAGTCCAACTTTAATAACTTGTTATCATTTTGTGTCAGTTAAAACAAAAAAAATCTCAGAAATTTGCGGAAAGTGGAGACATCAGAGAGAATTAATATGATTCTATTAGTTGGGGAATGAAGTGTGCATTCACCAATTAATACAATACTTAAATGCTCCTGAGTTTATCTAGTCTGGGCTTTTTTATGGGGATATAAAAGACAGTGTTTACAAAACTCGACCGATAAAATTGTCGACAAAATGAGGGAAATGACTGTATATGCATTTCCAAGTAGAACTCCACATATGCCTTTTAAAATGAAAAGATCTTTTGAAAAGAGAATCATTTTATGCAGTGAACAGGAACTCTCAAAAGAAACCATTTTGAGCTTGGATTTCGTCTAGGTAATTTTTGTCACATAATTATACGTTTATATCTAGTTTTAATTATGTAATAATTAAAATATGTTTTAAACGTGTATCTTTTTATTGCCTTTGAGTATTTTACTCTACGTCCTCTAATTTTTGGTAAATTAACTACAGGTATATCACAGCCACTTAGATTTATTCAAATATACTGACGCGAAATCATAAAAATTAAAATATCTAGAAAAATATTTGTTTGAAGGGTAGGCAACCCCAATTTATGATGAGTCATAAGGCCACCCTGTATGATGAGTTATAACTCAAAAAATAGGACACAGTGGATCTATAAGGTCGCAGTGATTAACTTTAACCCTTCCATACAATTTACAATCTGCGCCCCACCTAAATATGTCGATATGCCCCTTCAGTGGCGGCTCGTCAGCGGTAGCAAGGGAAGCATTGCTTCCTCTAAAATAATTCAGATAAAAGTAATACAATTATTTTTAATAAAAATAAAATATAAAATATACCAATTTTTACTTTTTACTCTTCCATCACTTCATTTTTGGGGAATCTGAGTTATCATATCACTTTAACCTAAACGTACTTAGCCAAAACTGAACAAGCCAATTTAGTTTTCATAAGTTTCTAGCCGAACGCGTGCCGAACGAGACGCCACGCGCCACGATCAAACGGCAGCAAATTTTACAATGACGCAATATGATTCCGTTCGACAATAAATGAAGCCCAAAGATAGGCAACCAAACATGTCTCACCTGTGTAATTTGCCTGAAATTTTGTCTAGTGTATTACGGGCTGGAAGCATCGGCAAAACTTGGTTCCTATGTGCTTTTTCGGAAGTAACAAAACTTACAAAACCTAACCTTTGTCTTTCGCATAGTCTTTCGTGTTTTTACTGTTTTTCGGTATAGTAATAGCGAAGTTTTTAAAGAGTCATACAAATTATTTTGCTTAATAGTGACTATTCCCTCCACCAACGTTTCCGTTGAATGAAGTTTTTCATGTTTAAATAGAATTAAAACCTATTTGCGACATACAATCACTGAAGAAAAACTTAATAATTTGGCCACAATTTCAATTGAAAAAGAACTTTTAAAAGACTTACTCAAATTAATTAAATCCTTCTATGAAGATATAATCGAACGGTTTGCAAGTTTAAAATCCCGAAGAATAAGTTATATAAGAATAAGTTATAGAATCTGTTATATGTATAAGAAATAGAAAGTTTGTTTTGGTAAGTACATTTTTTAAATTACAAAATACCTTTGTATTCTGGATTATTTTATTACTGTAGGCAGCAGAAAATAGTGCATAACACTAAGAACAAAAAATAGGATTAGACGCGTGATTAGTATACATCATTTCTTTTTTAAAATCATTCAAATTTTGTGCTGTTTGGTCCCCATCCCCATTAAAATGTTTGAAAAGTTTTTTTGTCCTCTTAGATGCATATAACTTTTTAGGATTTTTTAACGAAAGTGACAGGGGGGGCATTTTTTTCTATTATTGCTTCCCTACTTTTTTTTGCCACGAGCCGCCACTGTGCTCCTTCCTTGATCTTTTTAATCAACCATTTATCTACAAATATTGAGAAATACTCACTGGAAAGTTAGCTCCGTCATCACTATAGTTACTGGAGTACATGTCCCTCAGCACTTCTAGAGCGGCATCGGGCTCACCGCACTCCAACAGGAACTTTGGACTTTCTGGAAAGAAGAACAGCCACATCCCTATGAAAATACTGGGCACGGCGCAAGTGGCTACGAACAGGTTCCAACTGGCAAACTTAAAGTTAGGCGTGATGTATTCGAACTCCATAGGAATAATAATCCAGGCAATACCTAAAATTAAAAAGAGGTATTTTAAGTTAAGGCCTTCTTTTTCTGTTAAGGCTAAACTGGACGGAGCCTATCGTCTTGGCGAGTGCCTAAAATCGACTCTTACTCAAAAAAAAGAAATTTTGATGTATTTAATACATTTATTTTGTTCTAGTGGGCCGATTTTAATGATTTTTAGGCAATTTATAGCTAAATTATTTGAAATTTTAGTATCTCTTTCTAAATTAAAAATGAAAATTCCCCTCTGTCAATTATACGAGGAAAAACAAAATGTTGATATTTTAGTGAAAGTTTGAAACACCCTGTAAAATATGTTAAGACAGCAAGGAACTTAAAGATCATTTTATTATCTAGATACATCCTTTCTGGATAGTTTGTTTTTTGGTTCATCTCAGTAGCTTTACTTTTGTTGAAGCTATTCGCTTTTGAAGAAGACAACATTTTTTCGTAATTTTTACATCAAAATAATGCTCACTCTGTCTCTCTCTCTCTCTCCTCTCTTTCCTCGTTAATTTACCTGGCAATACGATCACACCAAGAGTCCAAAATAACTCCATCCAACATAGAATGGTCTCTCTATATCTTCCTGGTTGAAATTCTCCAAGATATGGAAAACAGATACCCATGGCTCCAGTAATACTAAAAATACATTAATCAAGAATTTAAACGGTGTATCATTTTAAGTTTAATCGCAATTTAAGACCAAATAAAATTCATAATCATTGTCAAATTTAATTGAAAACTTGATCTTTTTTCAAATATTTGATCAAACTCGTATGATGTTCATTATTAAAAGATGAATGTCTGTGTGGTTTTAATGTCAATTCGGACTACTCTGTATATTAAAATCTTAAAATTAAGACCTTTCTGGGCAGTTTTTACACTGTTTTTGTCAAATAAATCAGTCACAAGTAATTGATCAACATAATTTGTTAATTTCAATTACTACTCAACTAAACTATTGTTGTTTGTCAATTATAAATAAATTATCGTATGTTATACTTACGCAAAGCCATTTAAGAACCTGAGGAACATGAACAGCCAAAAGACTTGGGAAATACTGGATAGTAGTCCACAGATTCCATCCATAATTAAGGCAGCGATTAGGACGGTTTTCCTACCTTTCGTGTCAGCCAGGCATCCCCAAAAATACGAACCAATTAACATGCCTAAAACATAAAATTATCCATAATTTCTTATTTATTTTTAATCAAAAAATCTATGATTTTAAAATAACGTCTATAGTTGCGTCTCAAAAGTGGCTCATAGGTATATGACATAAATTAGGATTAATTGACGTATTCAATTGTTTTCGGTCACTTCCTGTTTCACCGGAAATGACTACAAATTTTGATTTTTAAATGGCACCCTCGTTATTTTTTGACTTTATTCGATAGAAAATAATACTCTGCATAAAATGACGTATCACGTGTCAATTTTTGACATTTCGCAATTGATTTATTTGAAATTGTAACATGCGGTTCTTAATGGCGTTTTGACTGAAAATACCAAGTGTGTGGTATCAAATTATTCGAAAAAAAAATGCTTTTTGCAAATATGCTAATGAGCCACCCTCGTTCCATTTGAAAAAAATTGAGATATGATCAAAAATACGATTTGGGCATCTTTTAACCGGCCAGGGCAAGACACTAAAATATTATATCAAATCATCAATTCTATCATCTAATCCAATCTATTTTTCCAAAGCTCCTTAATTAAAAAATAGTGTTTTCAACACAGCCATGGCACTCTAGATTCAAATTTAAAATACGATTTTTTAAGCAAGAATGTCAAAAGTTGACATACGACAGTCAATCCTAATTTATGTCATATACTAACATACCAAATTTCGTTTTTTTATCTGAAAAAATAAAAAAAATTATAGAGGTGAGCCACTTTTGCGACGCAATCGGTATAACTATTTTAAACTCTTTTTCTTAGAACTGAAAATTATTAATTAAAAAATCCTTGGTAATTAACGAAAAAGTCTGTAAATAGTAATTTTATAATTACTAAGGCGAATTTCATCAAATCCAGAAGTATTTTTGTCGTCCTAAATGGTATAGTAATCAGTTATTCAGCTAATTTAAGTAATTTGTCAAAGCAATCGGCTTGTTTTATCACTTGGTCTAATTAAAAAGGACGAAACCGTTTCAAGCAGATAGCAATACAACCAGAAATGTATCACTGTCCAATTTAGATTATTAACTGGGGTATCAGATGTTTTCAAGGAAAGACATCGAGTAAAAATATTAAATTTTTCATTACAACAGTGATTTTTTCAAATAAAACTTCCTAATTTCCATTATCTATACTTTTAAACTGCAGCACTATGGGTTCAGGGGAACATCTCTCAAATGGTTTAAGTCGTATCTGAGCAACAGAAATCAACTTGTGAGGGTGGGTACCACGTTGTCTTCTAGCAAGCCAATAGAATATGATACCTCAAGGCTCAGTACTAAGTCTTATTTTGTTTGTTCTTTTTATTAACGACATTGCTAACATAAACATCAGTGGTAAAATATGTCTTTTTGCGGACGATACTAGCTTCACTTGGGGCAACAAGGACGTCAAGGCACTTCATAGGATTATATCAAATGACTTAATCACCATTAAATCTTGGTGCGATTCGAACCTCCTGAGACTCAACATTTCTAAAACTAAAGCTTTTTCGTATAAAAACTCGCTGCAGCCTTTTGTACTTAACAACACCACCGTTGACGTCGTAAAATCTGAAAAAATTCTTAGGGCTTGTTGTAGACAATTCTCTAAAATGGGACATGCATATCGACGCTTTCTCGAAAAAAAATAAGCTCTGCCTGTTTAGCATTAAGATCTGTTTCTAAGGAGCTTAACTTGTCAGTGGCCAGAACTGTTTATTATGCACTTTTTGAGTCGCACCTCAGGTATGCCCTTTCATTATTGGGTACGTGTTGTGCGACTCAATTTGACCGCATTTTTAAGTTCCAGAAGAGAGCTGTTCGATATTCACTGGGACTAAACTGCAGAACTCATTGCCAGGACTTTTTTAAAAAATTAAAAATATTAACTCTTCCTTCCTTATTTATATTCGAATCCGTTTGCCTAATACGTAAGCATGTATCAGCTTCTCAAGAAAGATCATCTCACACTTATCCACTTAGGAATGCGGAGCAAGATCTTTATCTACATACCCCACGCTCAGAGTTAGTTAAAAGTTCAATATTATACAACTCCAAAAAAATGCACAATCAACTGCCATTTGAAATCAAATCCATAACATCATTTTCTTCATTTCGCAAAGCATTGAAACGCCGTAAATGGTCTAATATTTGCTATTACTATAATATTTACTATAAACTTACTAAATATTTTTGAATCCTATTTTTATTTTTTTATTCTTTGACATTGTAAACATTTATAAATGTTTATTTTAAACAATAATACTGACAATGTAATTTGTATACTTGTTTTGTATTCTCTTTTGTTTGTTTACTTTATCTTTGTCTACAAATAGTAAACATTTTTTGACAATAAAGGCATTTATTTATTTATTTGTGATTTAAGGATTATTGTTGGAACTATAGTTGGTCCAACGTGAGGATACATGACATTGACAGTTATCCCTTGGTTATCCAAGTCATTTTAATTCACAAGTAAGTGTAGATTTACATCAGAGAATGAGCTTCAACGAGTGCGCGTCCAAAAATCTTATTGTCATGTTCTCATTTGGGTCTTTTTTCCAATAACAAAGAGCCATCCTCTGTCGGAAACACTGCGACCTGTGAGGCCTACTGTCTTTGTCCCCTTTCTATATCTGCACCCATTCTCCTATCCCAGTACCCTGCACCAACTTATGCAGGTCCTTGATAGGATAGGAGGATAGGAGCATAGTACATCCGGTTCTAGCCTAGCTTTCTCAAATAAAAAGTGTCGCTCGCAATCCAAAGCCTCGCAGTGACATATTATGTGATCCGCTGTTTCAGAATCTTTATCGCAGAGTCTGCAGCAAAGACTTCCTTGATACAGCCTGAGCTTGTTCAGGTAACACTTGACAACCACGTGTCCTGTTAAGAGGCCTGTTGTAATCCGCACTTTATTTCTGTTAAGCATTAGCAGTTATTTTGTGGTTTTAGAACTAGGTCCTTGGGTAAAGGCCTTGCTGTGCCTGTGCCCCTGTCTGTTTCTCCAGTGGACATTCTGCTTTTCCCTGATCCAGTGTTATACTTTTTTTATTTATATTCTTCTGGACTGTTTTTAGTATTTTATGAGTATAATGATTTAATAATTTCTAGTTTAGTAAATTTTATTCTATTCATATAGTATATTAATCACGGGTGATTGTATTCGAAAATTTTATGAACAATGTTGAGTTAAGACAGAAAAATAACTAAAAAATAAGAAATTTTTGTTTGTAAGCTTTTCAAACAGCGAAATAATAGCACAGTACAGCAATTTTACTATTTACAGTATCTTCTGTTTTCTCGTCTTATAAAAAGATCATTTTTACTATTACTATGTAAAAAACAAAAATTGAACAAAGTATTCTATTGACAGTTCTCTTAACTTACCAAACATCGGAGCTGCCGTGAGCCATCCCTTGTCTGAGGAT